ACAGGCTGCAGCCTCCATCGATGCAGGTCCACCTGCTCCACCGTGGTCTCCTCCACGGGCTGCAGCGTGGAACCCTGCTCCACCGTGGTACTCCATGGGCTGCAGGGGGACAGCCTGCTTCACCATGGTCCTCACCACAGGCCGCAGGGGACTTCTGCTCCGGTTCCTGGAGCACCTTTCCCTCTTCTTCTTCACTGACCTTGGTGCATCCTGCAAGGCTGTTCCTCACTCCTCTCACTCTCCCAGCTGCTCTGTGGCGGAGTCTTTGTTTGTTTATTTGTTTGTTTGTTTTTCCCTTTCCTAAATATGGTTTCAAAGAGGTGCAAACATCATCACTTATTGGCTTGGCTCTGGCCAGCAGTGAGGCCCTTACCTTACATGGGGCAGCTTCTAGATTCTTCTCACCGAAGCCACCCCTATGGCCCCCTGCTACCAAAACCTTGCCATTATAAACCCACTACACCTGCTCCACCAGGGATGTCTCCACAGGCTGCAGGGGAATTTGTGCTCTGTTCCTGGAGCATCTCCTGCCCTCCTTCAGCACTGACCTTGGGGGCTGCAGGGCTGGTTCTCTCCATACATTTTCTCACTCCTCTCTCCCAGCTGCTGTTGCACATCAGTTTTTCTTAAATATGATTTAACAGAGGTGCAACCAACCATTGGCTTATAACACAGAAATACTCTATCGGTCATAGTAAGTAGAAACTGTGAGTTTCTCTGATCCTAAGCATTAAAACCTAGTTAATATTTACTTTCTGATCATTTCCGATTTTTAGTCTTTATCTCTCCAGTTTCAGAGTCGTCACCCAAATTGTCAGTCAGCTATTGGTCTTTCTGAAGGTCCTATGACTGCAGATAATTTGAGCAAAAAAATCAGAGCTCTTGCCACAGCTGCACGTTTTACCATAATTTTTTCTTGATTAAAAAAACAATCACTGTGTGATAAATGGAACAAGATGGAACTGCTACACCATCTGCTGTTGATTCTAATTAGCATAATTGATATGATTAATATAATTATTGTAATGTAATTAGACAGCTTTAATGTCATGCAAACTGATTTAATCAACTCTTTATTTAGAAAGATAACTCAAATAAATAATGTGCCCTGACAAATGGTATTCAGTTCAAGTTTTAATGTGTAATTTCCCCTCATAAGAGGAGGGTTTTAAAATCAGATTATTTTTTGCAAGTATTGGAGGTTAGGGAAAAAGGAACATGGACAATGTTTAAATAATAATTGTTTGCTTTCATTAGGGAAAGTTCTTGTATTAAAGCGTGGTGGGCTTATGGACACCATACAGAAAAACAATACCTTTGATAACATACATGAAAACCAAAATAGATCAGGACAAAAACCATAATTGTCACTCCAAAGGTCCAGACTGGGAGATTCTTTTACCATTTTCCAGATGCAAGCTAAAATACTTTTACAGTCTACAACTTCTAGGTCTACAGCTTCTCATTTTAGAAGACTGGGTATGCAGTGTTTGTCTGAAATTTTTGCTAATGGAGAGAATAAAAAAGAAAACTGAAAGTTGATTTACTGTCCGTTTCAATAGTGAAGCTATTTTAGATAATTGAAAGAATAAAAACTCATGCTATGGAAATTTTCCTTTGCTGAGAGAAAGAGATTGAACTTTTGGATTTCAGAATACCTGTGCAAGAAATTCCTTGGATATGTGTCTCCTGAGTCCACACTGAATCCAGTTCAGGTGGATACAGATACATTTTTCACAGTTGCCACTGATGGTTATCACTCAAGCAGGGTTACGGGTGAAGAGTCAGGCTGGGGGACAGGCAAGGGTAGTATACTGCCACAATGGGTGAGGCATGATTTCCCTCTAAATCTAAATGATAGTTCTCTAGATCTCATTTGAGACCCTTAAAAATTAGAGCCACTTTCCAGTTTTCTGACATGGATATTTCTAAGCAAGTTGTATAGCAGTATTAGTGGCTTGGTTGTCTGCTTGCTGGGTTTCTTTACACGTCTTGGATGGATAGCATCTGACCGTGTCCCTTTGGGTGTATTAATTTTCCTGTTTATTGAATAACCTGTAACATTGACCTTCTGAACTGAGGCACACCCTCACATATGTGTCCTGTGAAGAAAATTTAAGTACAGAAACCTCACCAAGTTCCTCTGTAGCAAACACATGTAACACATCCACTGCACATGTTGGACTTCACATAATAAAATAAAATTATATAGCATATTTTTGCAGCTTTGAAGTTTTCTTTCTGCTGAAATAAAATGTGAAATGCAAAGTCTGTTTGAGAAACAAGAACCAGAATAGAAAAAATATATATATAAAAATAAAAAGCCAGTTTTCTGAGCATGCAAAAATAAGAACTAGGTTGTGATATAAAATACTATGCACATCAAGTCTAAGCACACACTTAAAGAATGCCATGGAGACACTCTCATTGAAATGTCTGCATGCCTACATTTTCCTGTATTGTTCTTCTGTCTTGATGTTTGGAACCAAGTTGCATGCTCCATCCCTCTGTTGAGAAGGTGATCTATATTTTCAAGGCTCTTGACTGTCACTTACCTCCCTGCAACTTTGGTTGGTTCTACTGCCAACCTGAGAGCAACCTTGAGCTTAATTTAACTTGCTAACTTATTTAATAAACAATTCTGTGTTTTTTAACCCAGCCTATGCCACAGCTGGAAGACACTACCTATAAATGTCTTACTCCTTGACTTTCCTTTGGTATTTTCCCAAAGTTATCCTCTGCTAGTATATAACTAACACCTCAGTAATAGATTAGCATATGCTGCTATGAGATCAGCACCCATCATTCACAGCATCAGTGGTTTACCTTTCTTTTGTCCATGTGCTCCTCCATTTTCTTACTGTATCCACCTATTTGGCATATTTTTTTTTAATTTTATTGTTTATTTATTTATTTTTAGAGAAGTAGCTGATAAGGTTTGACAGGGTAGACTCACCAAGTTGTCATACATTGTACAGTATTCATTCTGTACTCACTCTGTTCCAGAACTGCTTTACTGCAGTAGAGAAATAATAATAATAATGCCATCTTTGGCAGAATGATGTAAAAAACCCAGATCCCTGAAAACTCTGTAACAAGTAAGGCTGCTGAAAGGTTGATGTTTTGCTGCTACATGGGATTTGACATACATGTTAGTTGACTGTATCCTTATTGTATGTGTACTGCTTGTATGCATCAATGGCTTGGTTAATTTTTGGCAGCGTGGTAATTCTTCTAAGTCTGGAAGACTGTTTGCCCTTTAATTGGGTGGGTTTTCTTCAAACTTTATATGTAGATACAGGAACATACTCTCACTTCCACTTTTCAAAACTGGTCTAAGAGTGTAAAGGGGATTTAGTACAAATGAAATGAGAGACTGTAGTATTTGAGCAATGTATTTATCAGACACATGAGTTTTAAAAACTGGTCTGTTCCTATGCAGGAGGAGAATCCACCTAAGAATCCATTTCTGACATTATTCCCACAGGTGGTCTTTTCTTAATCTTTTTAAGAGCTTTTTGAGACAACTCCAAGATTTATCCATCTACTCATTTTGATTTACTAGAAGTTTGTATAGCTTAGAAAAAAAAAAAGGGGGGGGGAGGGGGGGAAAGAAAAAAAGAAAAATTATACAGACTATTGTAAGATGATTGTGGTAGGCTGAGCTTAGCCAGATGTCAGATGCCCACCCAGACACTTCTTCACTCTCTCACTCCCACTACTCTACAGGATAGGTGAGAAAATAAGGTGAAAAGACTCATGGATTTAAGGTAAAGACAGAGAAAGCACTTATTAGTTACTTTCACAAGCAAGACAGACTCAAGTTGGGGAAAATTAATTTAATTTACTGTAAATTAAAATAAAGTTGTATAGTGAGAAACAAAAATATTAAAACACCTTCCTCCCGCTCTCTTTTCCCAGGCTCAACTTCACACCTTCATTCCCAATTCCAATATCCCCTGCACCCACCCCCAAAGAGATGCAAGGAAGGTTGAGGATGGGGGATTCTGGCCAGCCAATGACAGCTCCTCTCTGCCACTCCTTCCTCCTCACACTCTTCCCCTGCTCCATGGTGGGTCTTCTCCTCAGGCTGCTAGGGAATCTGTGCTCTACTGCCTGGAGCACCTCCCGCTCATGCTCTCACATTGGTCTTCACAGGGCTTTTAACCCCTCACTCCTCACACTGCCATGAATGGATTTTAAACTTCTTTAAATGTGTTTTCCCAAGGTAACCACCAGCTTGGCTGATGGACTTTGCTGTGTCTTGCAGTGCTTCCATTGGAGCTGGCTTTGTCTGGCACCGCGCAATCCCTGGCCTCTTCCCAAAGAGGCCACCTCTGCAGCCCCCCTGTTACACATGCCTTGACACCTACTCCCAACACAATGATGAACAAGTATGACCCTTCAAAATAAAAAGCTGTTGCCAGCAGAATATCCTTTGCGTCAAGGTGCTACAAAGGGGCAAGGGGCCAGGAGCATCAGAGCAAGGCTTGTCAGACAGGGCCTGTCCATCTGCCCCACCAGGAGAAGGCACCTGGAGGCACCAGGACAGCCCCAGCCTTGACATCAGGCACATTCCTGGGATGGGGCCAGGGTAAGGCCTGTTTATGGGCCCATGGGTTGGCCTGGTTGGGTAGAGCATGGTGGTGGGGAGATGGCCCTGCTGGAGTTTCGTTGGGGCAGGGGCTGATGGCTCCAGAGTCTGATGTAGGGTCCTGAGTGCAGGAGATCCCAGTGGGTGGGCAGGTTAGAAATATCTGAGAAGGTTCTAAAGTTTTCAGAGATAGATGGAGAACTGCAAAAAAAATAAAAGAAAAAAAGTTCACTTGTTAATTCAGTTATTCTCTTTTAACTGTTACATTCCTTTTCATGGTCCCGTGACTTCATGACTTCAGTTAAAAGCACAAATGACCATCCACTGTCCCCTTCCTGTTTATAACACTTGTTTGAAACATTTTCCGTAACTGAGTTTGACACTAACCATCATTTGCAATCAATAGGAAGAAGTGACCTTGAGATGGAGAATGAAGAGGGTTACGCAGAACTGAATTTCAAAGCAAGGAAGAAAAACTCCAATGCAGGTAAGCATATAAGCATACACATTTCTCCTTCTATATTCAGACATATTTGAGTTACCATAAAACAATTAAACAAACAAACAAACAAAAACCACCACAAATCTGCCAAAATTTTAGTTGGTGTTGCTAAAAAGCAAATGGTATATGGCTATATATTGAGAAACATGATGAACAGTAGGTAAAAATACCACCAGGCTTGGAGTGTGTGTTGACAGTCCCAGTACAGGATGGAGATTAGAAAATGGAGGTATGGGAGGAAAGCATGAAGCAGTAATTGTCAGCAAGTTTGCAGTTGTCTCAGCTCATCAGCTATTTATGTTTTGTCCGGTAATTTTTTTTTTTCCCTCCAAAAATCATCCAAGGAGAATTTAAGAATAATTTAAATGAAAACCGTAAGACAGTAACTTACTGTCCAATAAGCTTTTTCAACAACTTTTGGAGGGCTTTGTCAGGAGCAGCAGGGGAGAAAATACAAAGATAAATGCTAGAAGGCTTTCAAGGTTACTTTTGCTAATATCTACTTCTATAATGTGATGCACGGGAGAACTCAGACCACGAATATTAAGTTCTCAGAGCAATTAGACTTCCAGGTTCCAAACAGTTAATTAGCTATGATGATAGGTTCCTGAGAAATTCTGGCTGTACTCTTACATAACAAGAATTTTTATCAGTGAAAAAGTGAAAGCCAACTTAAGTTACTCAGCATAGTAGGACTAATTTTGTGCAACTTTATTAACATCAATTATGCCAGTTTTGCTATTATTAAAACTTATACTGAAAGTTAATAAAAGTACAAAACCAGCAAAAGTGAGAGAAAAATAAATGGAAAGCTGATAATAAAACCTAATATTTATTTAACTAAGAATTTTAAGTTGTCAAACTTACCAAAATGCAAAAATATGTTGCTGTAATGGAGTAGGTTGAACATTTTCATTTAAAAGAAGCAGAGAGTTAGGCAAAGCGTATGTGACCAAATGTACATAATAGTATGTGACCATAAACACACAGAGTATGTATTGACTAAGTCAGTTTTAAAATGCTCATCATCTCCCTCCATGACTGGGTCCCAAAAGACCACTGCAGGAGCAAACAGGCAGAACAGGAAGACTTCAGGCAAGCAGCTTACAGGAACCGTTGTTCCTTTAAGCGTCCTTCAGGCCACATCCACCTGCTCCACTGTGGGCTCCTTCATGGGCTGCAGGGGAACTTCCACTCTGGTGTCTGGAGCAGAAGTTCCTCCACTTGTGCTTCTACTCCACTTCTGGAGCAGAAGCACCTCCACTTCCTTCTTCACTGACCTGTGTCTGCAGGGCTGTTTCTCTGTACATTTTCTAAGTCTGCTCTCCCAGCTGCTGTTGTACCACAGATTTCTTCCCCCTTTCTTAAATACACACAGAGGTGCAACCGGCATTGCCTACTGGCTCTTATCTGACTTGTTATAGCTTCTGGGCTTTTCTCACACACCCCACCCTTGCAGTTCCCCTCCTGCCAAAATACTGCCACATAAACTCAATATACAGTGTGTGAGCTAGATTTAGACTAGACACAGACTAGTCACTGTAGCATGGTTTTATCTCGGAGGTGAATTTGCTGGAGTGGTTAGTAGTGGTTGCAATGCCCTGTTGGCATAATCCAATGCAATATTGACACCAGTTCTTGTAGCACAGAAGAAAGACCACAATGCAGAGCTCCCCTTCCTTCCTGCAGTCACATCCGATCTTGCCAGTGGTGAAAGCTGCAGAGGTGTCCTGAGAAGCTGGGCAAACACTGAGCTGTTAGCTTGTGCTTCACTGTCAGCACTGTGATATCACCACTACCAGAGCTCATTCTGGGTATTTGTGCAATAATCTGAGTATTTACACAAGTCACTTGTTACTGTTTTGCCTGCAGTCCAGCCATTGTGCAAATCATGGCAGAGATAAGATTAGATAACCTAGTTGCCTTTTTGTTGTCAAAATCACTACACAGTACCCAAGGAAGGAGAATGCACACACATGCATAACCATAATATATGTTGCATAGTCAGTGAAAAGAACTGTATTCTATTTACAGAATATGTGCTGTCTAAATAGGGTAGGAATATAAAAACAGTGGGGATTAATTTGAATATTTAAAGACAACTAGTCACATATACAGAATTTCCGAAGTAAGTATGATTGCACGGACAAATGAGGAAAAAAATGTTTGACCTCTGTGCAAAAATGACAGCTAGAAACCAGTCATGAAGTGGAAGTGTTAGAGAAAATGAATTTATCATGTTGCATAAAGTTCAACAGTCTTTTCATGATCTGAAATGCAGCTCCATGCATTACATTTTTGAAATAATAGTGTTGCAGCATAGAACTTTTCAAACAGCTGATTCACATCTGATTTAGATCACCAGTATTTGAAATGTAATAGTTATTAAAGGATATTTACAAAAGATACTTACTGATGTAATTTACTAGATGCAAAACAAGATCTTCATGAGGTAAAATATTTTCCTACACCATTTTCTCTTCTGAGAAGGTTAATTTCCATGAAATGGAAAGTCATTCTTCTGTTGTTCTTTGACTTTATTCCATGACCCCAACTCAGGGCAAATGAGAGTAAGGACTGGCACTGTATGTAATGGAGGGGCTGGACTACATGGAGCTTGTAGTTGGTGATGACATGGTAGAGAGCCTCTGAGTAAGGATTAAGGGACAAACAAATTAACAGATGTCATTGTGGGAGTCTACTATAGGCCACCCAGCCAAGATGATGACACCTATGAATTGTTCTTTAAGGAGCGAAGAGATACCCTAGATCAGCCACCCTTGTACTTTTTGGTGACTTCAGCTTGCCAGATGTGAACTGGGAATACCCCACTGCTGATGCAAACAGGTCCAGGAGATTCCTAAAAAATCTTGATGATAACTTCAAGATTTAAGTACAGGTACTAAGGGAGCTGGCTAGGAAAGGTGCCCTCCTAGATCTGTTTCTTGTGAATAGAGATGATCTCATGGGTGGAGTGGCGATTGGTGGTCATCTTGGCTGTGAAATAAGGAATCAAATGTAAAATTTTCGGTGAGGAGAACTGCCACCAGAACTTCAACCCTGTATATGGGGAAAGCAAGCAGATTTCCATATGGAGCTGCTCAGGGAACTGATGAGCAAAGTCCCCCAGGATCTTTTTTTTTGGAAGACATTTTTCTGAAGACATTGGTGCCCATCAGTGCTACTCAGTTTTAAGTACCACCTCTTATGAGCACAGGAACAGGAAATTCCAAAATGTTGGAAGTCAAGCAAGCAGGACAGAAGGTTGGCTTGGCTGAGCAGAGTCTTGTAGACCTTTGGCAGAAAAAGAAAGTGTGTGTCCACTGGAAGTGAGCTTGGGTGATATGGGAGGACCATAGAGATGCCGTTCACTATTGTAGGGAGAAAATTTGTGTGGCCTCAATTAGAGTTGAAGTTGGCCAGTATTGTGGGGGCTCTTTTAAAGGGCTTTAAAAAATATGCTAACAGCAAAAGGAGGACCAGAGAAAACATTGGTCCATTACTTGATGAGGATGGTCAGCTCACAAATAGGGACGTAGACAAAGCAAAGATGCTTAATGCCTTCTTCGCCTCTGTCTTCAACACCGATGGTGGGCTCTGAGTTGGAGGGACATGACTGCAGTAACCATGAACTTCCAGCCAACCCTGAGCTTGTGGAGGATTTGCTGCTCCACCTGGATGCATATAAGTCTATGGAATGTGAAAGGATTCTTCCCAGGGTATTCAAAGAGCTGACTGATGTCATCACAAGACCTCTCTCCCTTACTTTTCAATGGTCTTGGGAATCTGGAGAGGTCCTGTTTGACTGGAAGCTGGCAAAAGTTACTGCTTTCAAGAAGGGCAAGAAAAAAGGCCCTGGAAATTACAGGCCTGTCAGTCTCAGTTCAGTGCCTGGTAAAATTATGGAGAAAATTATTCTGGGAATTACTGAAATTCAGCTGAAGGACAATGTGGTCATTGGTAAGAGCCAGCTTGGGCTGATGAGGTGAAGGTCCTGCTTAACAAATTTAATTTCTTTTCATGACAAGGTCACCCACCTAGTTGACCAAAGGAAGAAGTTGATGTAATCTTTTTGTATGTAAGCAAAGCTGAAACAGTGTTTCTCACCATATCTTTCTGAACAAAATTACCAGCATACAGGTAGATGAATACATAATGTGATGGGCAAGCAATTGGCTGATGGGTTAGGCTCAAAGTATTACAATAAATGGGGTTACATCAGGCTGGTAGCCGGTCACTAGTAGGATTCCCTGGGGCTCAGTATTAGGGCCAGTTCTCTTTAATGTTTTCATAAATGACTTGGATGCAGGACTTGAGGGTCTATTAAGTTTGCAGATGACACTAAATTGGGAGGAACTGTTGACTCTCTCTAGGGTAGAGAGGCATGGCGTAGAGATCTTGACAAAACAGAGGGCTGGGCAATCACCAACTGCATGAAGCTGAACAAAAGGAAGTGCCAGATTCAGCACCTGGGATGGGGTAACCCTGGTTATACATACAGACTGGGGGACAAGAGGCTAGAGATCAGCCCCACGGAAAGGGATCTGGGGCTTGATGGCAAATGGAAGGGCAAATTCAACAGTGTGCCCTGGCAGCCAGAAGGTTGAACTGTATCCTTGAGTTCATCAGGCATGGCATTGCTAGCCAGTTGACGAAAGTGACTGTCCCACTCTACCCTGTGCTGGTGCAGCCTCACCTTGAATACCATGTGCAGTTTGGGGCCCCACAATATAAGGACATAAAACCGCTAGAGAGCATGCAAAGGAGGGCTATGAAGACGGTGAAAGGATCTAGAGGCAAGACATGTGAGGAGTGGCTGGTTACCTGGTTTGTTCATCCTAGAGAAGAGGAGACTGAGAGGAGGCCTCATGGCGGCCTGCAGCTCCCTCATGAGGGGAGCAGAGGGGCAGGCGCTGAGCTCTGCTCTCTGGGGACAGCAACAGGACCCGAGGGAACGGCATGGGGCAGGGGCTGGGGAGATTCAGCTGGACATTAGGAAAAGGTTCTTCAGTGAGGGGGTGGTTGTACTCTGGAAGAGGGCCCCCAGGGAAGTTCATGGCACCAAGCCAGTCAGAGTTCAGTAAGTGTTTGGTCAATGATCTCAGACATCTGGTCTGATTTTTGGATGGCCCTGTGTGGAGCCCGGAGCTGGTCTTTGTGGGTCCTTTCCAACTCAGGATATTCTATGTTTCCATGAAAAAAATCTCCAAATTATAACACAGACTTTTCTAAAGGCCTTTGACTTGGCATCCAGTGTACAGGTGATTAATTAGTGAGTCCTGGTGCTAAAGAATTTAGCCCAAAGGTCTACTGGTCCTTTGTTGATTGACAGTGTGGGTATTCATAGCCCGAGAACTTCTTTTTTATTTGCACATTACATATTTGTCTTTTTCTTTGCAACTGTTAGGAACTTCAATTCTTCCTTATATCTTTTTACTGTTTGTGAGGTTTTGTTTAGTAATGTTTGTTAAATGCTTGCTGTAACATGTAACAGTCATGTTACTTGCCAGAGTGATATCCCCCTGATATGAAGAAGCAGAAAGCGGTAGCTGTTCCACTTATAACCTCAAATGGATGGGTAAACAGTGAAAACAGATTCAACAAATTCAAACCCAAAAAAACTTTTCATAAATGAATTTGTTAGAAACAATAACCACTTGATATGCATGAGGCAACCAGAAGGGAAAAGAGAACAATCACAAAGCACATAGCAATGTGACAGTGAAGGATATTCCGTCTGAATGATGTCTAGAGAAACACAGATTTATGTCCTGGGTAATATCATATGCCATGTTTATAAAACCATCTTATTTCTTGCAGAATTTTCCTCCAATTCTTCAGCCTTGCGGTATCTTGCTGCACTCTCAGGATTTCTGAATCTTATATTTCTGGGAGCTGTGATTGCATTATTTCAGCAATGTGAGTGACCAGGTGAAATATTTTGCTTTAATTCCTGTGCAATTGGCAGGTGTTAATCTTCGATTTAAACAATTTTTCCAAACAGACTGTTTTGATATGGTGACAAGATCACTCAATGCTTTCTACTACTGGGTTTCTAATGAAGGTTAGAGGGAGTTATTGGTATTTTGAGGCTGTGGATCTGCAGAAGATCAGTGGCTTTCGGAGGGCAGTTGCATGTTTGGAGTTTATGAACAGATCTGGAGTCTCTCATTTTTCAGTCCCTCAGCCTGACAGTCCCTCTTTTCTTTTCCAAAACTGAACAAATAACCCAGATTTCTAGCCAAAGAATTAATTTTTCAGTTTGTAAAAGCACTTTTATTAAGGAAACAGAGTTCAGTCTGGATATGTGGTGTAACTGGAACCCCTGCTACCTCCTCTTCCTCTCATCCTCACAGCCAGTCTTCACCTCCTGATGCCCATCTTTGTGTGCCTTAAGTTTCAGCCACTCCTACCAGACCTGCACAACAGGAAATGTGAGCTGTACTTCAGGGATGGTTGAGATAGGAAGCTGGAAGATGTTACATGTAGATGAAATATACTGCTTTAAACAGAAATAAAAATGTGTGCCTATAAATGTATAAATGTGGTCTTTCCACTGTCCACAAAATGTGTGCTTAAGCACTGGCTCACTGCCAGTACTGATCGCAGAGCTTAAAAATCTAGCACAAATGTATGCCATTATCCCTGGACATTTAAACTTTGGCATCAGAAAGAAGTGGCTGCAGTTGCCCTGGAAAAGCAAGTTGAACAAGGTGGTCATCAACAAGCATCTAAATACTTACCAAGGAGTCTAATTTTAGTTTTCTCCTTCAGAAAATCTCAGCCTGATAACCCCAATGTCCAGCCTGCTTCCGGACATAAAAATCACTTTGCACATCAAAATCACCTGAGAATCTGGGAGAAAATAAAAATTCAGAAGCACTTCTGGATATGACTACATTGTTAATGGCAGCCATTCTCCCTTTCTCTGGATTTGAGGCCTGCACTCACACATCAACCCATTCTTTTCTGAAATTAGCTGAATACAGAGTTCAGGCACTAGAAAATCAATGGCACAGCCATGTTATTAGGTTGTTATATACCATGTTTTTAAAAACAAGTTGATGACACAATCTGTGCTGTCTATGGAAGTTCTTTACAGTTCATTAAAATGTTGAAGATTCTTGTCCAGGTGACTTGCCATCAAGTAATGTGTGGAAGTCCAGAGAAAATATTTCTGAAAGTGGCAATATCTCAGGGGAAGATCTCCATGAAAACAACTTACTGACTGCATTAAAGGAGAGTTTATGCATGAATACAAATGGTAAGGAAATAAAATCTCGTTCATAGTACCATAAATGGTTTGAATCTCTAGAAAAGATTAATATAAAAAATAAACACCTGATGAAGTAACCGACCTTCAGATTACAGAATGATAATGTTTATATTGTTAAAGATGTATAAAGTGATCTACTTCAGAGTTCCATTCTTGGAAATGTTAGTTTAAGAAAGAAATTCAAGTGGAGTAGTGATACTGAAGGTCTTTGTGACTTCTCTGTGGGTTCCATGGAAACCAATTGTACTACTCCCAGGGATTTCAGCAGAATGGAAATTTTATCTGTGGCTTCTATCCCAGTTTTTATGTAAACTATTTAGCACAATTATCTAGAGTTCTGAAATATTTAAATGCACAGTGATCCCTAATGACTATCCTTATTGCCACTGTAAAGCAGAAACAATGTGCTTTCTTAAAATGAAGTGTACCATCACAGTTTCTGCCCCACTCCTGCCTTAAAGCTTCTTTAATTTCATATTCAGAAGCCTCAGAAAAGTGTGAGTCAATATTACTAGTATCAGTTGTAAATAAGAAAGTGTCAAAATCCATTCACCCCAAACTCTTCACAGACTCCAGATGTGAGCTCTGCCCCATTGGTTGGAAGCTGCATTATGGGAGATGTTATTACTACTCAGAAAGAAGTGACACCTGGGAGAATAGTAGAAAGTATTGCCTAGGAAGAAAATCTGAGCTCCTGATTATAGAAAATGAGACTGAAATGGTAAGCTTGTAAGGCAATCTGTGGTTCAAATACTATTTTTACTTATACCTTGAGAATCCAAATATCACAGCAAAGCTTTCCGTGTATAATTAGAAGACATGTCTAATCCATACATGCTCATAAAAGGCATTGTCAGTGGTAAATGCACTGATGATTGATCTCTGCATGTTAAGAAATGTTTGTGTCAAAAAGACCAGTAGTCCAGATTTCATTTAAATAGATGCAATGATATGCTTATACTTTATCTCCAGCAAGAATCAGATGGAATTTAATTGAAGGATTCTTGCATGTTATATTCCAAATCAAACCCGTTCAGAGCTAAGTTGATACAAAGGCTGTTGCCTTTCTTCTGGGAATGGATCTATTCCTCTGTACTTTATACATTTTAAAATGTCAATATTAGGCTGAGCTGGCAAAATGATCACTTCCTTCCCTGTAAGGAGAAAAAAACAGGTACCTTCAGCTGCTATATTTCAGATCAGCCTGATTCTCATCTAAAATGTGCTTATGGAATGAACCCAGGCAAGGAGCCAAAATTAGCTCCTTGGTTGCTCCACTTAGCCACAGCACAAGGGTATAATTGAGAATCTGAACTAATTTATATGCTGTTTTTCCTTCAATTTCTTGGAAACATTCTCTGGAGTTTTTGGGCATGCAACCCTTGCTGTTTTTAAAATGTTAGTTATCACTGTATGTTACTGGTGCTGGAGTTTTGTGAAGTGCCATTATTATGAGAATTCAAAGGCATATACATTTCTTCAGGATTTCTTAAATAAACTGAAGGATAAAGACATTGGCTTTGTCTGGACTGGATTAAGTTTCAATGAAGACGAAGGAAAATGGTTATGGCTCAATGATCCCAAACATCTAGGGCACAGGTAGGTTCATTCTGGAATCAATCAGTGTTGTCTTTACAATGTATTTTCTACTTGCTATGCTGAAGCTATTCAGCCATTACCATGAGAAAGTGAGAATATGATGTCAGAAAAAAGTAAGAAAATGATGTCAGGTGCCATGCTCCAGTCAGGCATCTCAGCCTATCCTGATTTTTCTCTATACAGAATTCTGATCAAAACATGCAGATGAAAAGCGAAATTTGTTGGCAGATTTCAGAAAAGAAACTGAATTTATTAGGAGGTGAGAATGCTGCATAAGCTTTTTTCTTCCAGCTATATTTCAAGTAGGGAAACAGAAAGGATGAAGCTTATTAAACAAGCAAAACCTGTCTGCTTTGTCAGAGAATCAAAAGAATGACAGCATAAAAACAACAACAAAAATCCAGTCTTTGTGGTTTCACTATTTATCTATTCTTTTTTTTTTTCCCATAACACAAATTCCGAGATACTTATGTCTGTTTTTTGTTTTGTTCTTGCAGTTTTACAATAAAAGGAAGGAAGAAAGAAGAAAAATGTGCTGCCTATAAGCTGACAAAAATGCATGCTGATAACTGCCACTCCCTATACAGGTGGATTTGCAGAAAGAATGCAGTGTTTCTGCAGGTCTAAGATGTTTTAAAGTGAGAGAGTAGGTTCTTTTAAGATTTATAGCATTTTACAGTGGGTAGGATATCTGATGTAAAATTAAGGGGAAATTATTGACCTGAATTCTGTTATTCTATTTGTGATTAAAATCCAGGAAGATTTCAGGCTTGTTTCTCTCTTCTTTTCCAGATGAAGGTATAAAATCTATGTCTTTGTGCACACTGATGCATGGCCCCTTAGAGCTACAAAAACAAGTAGCCTACCAACTTTAAGTTTAAGGAGTTTAAGAAGACTAAGAGTTGTATAAACCATAGGTAAAATGAGGGTTTTGTACCAGCCTGGCAAATAGATCATACAGCAGACCCAAAGTTGCTACTGCTTCTTATTTTAGATGAAGAGATTATAATTAGTACTATGCACTTAAATGTGCCTGCATATCTTACCTCTGGAGGACCAACATAGGAAGTCAGCATGACTCTGTGAAAGAGCAAGCCAAAATCTTGTATATTTTCAAAAAAATGGTTTCATGTACTTCATTCAGTGCTGCAGAATTTGAAACTTAAAAATACCATAAATACCTCTTGAATTTGGATGTGAGATTCAGTTGTCTGTCTTTGTTCTACTAGTGCACTAGAAATGGCAAAATCACATTTATGGGGCTACAGGGCTGTAATCTATTGATAGTCCACTGACAGACAATTTTTACAAATCAGATTTTTGTTTGTTTGTTTGTTTAATTTTGCAACCCTCCTACATCTCAAGGCTACTGATCATGATGGGGCAGTGGATCTCAGAGAAATTTGCTCTTTTCTCTCTGCTCTAACCTTAAGATAACTTGTACAGGTCTGAGAGTAACCTGTAGTTCTTCATTGTTAGTATAACATACTAAGCAGTTTAGTAGCCAGGAGAAATCAGTGTAATGATTAAAATGATGACTCTAACATGTAAAGCCAAGTTCCAAATTGCTGTAGTTGTGGGAGATCACTCTAAGAGGCTCTTCCACCAGCAATGCTGCATTTTGGATTCCAGTAGCAATGTGGGTTCTTTGGTTGTTTACTAAATATCCAGTAACCTCTCCCTTTATGGCTTTTGAGCAACATGTCAGGCTTTAGGTGTAAGAGTAGGATTCTGTAACATTTCTGGCAATTATTTGAAAATCGTTGAAAATTGCTTAGCAATGCCTAAATGTATTGAGCCTAACAGCATACAATTGCAATGATTTCTGTGAGCTGGGTATTTCTTCTGTGGGTATGATGTAAATAAAACCACATCCTTTACCGGTGTTACTTTACATACACATCTATTATCAGATAAATTATACACAGATTATATACAACAATTTGTGTACACGTGCTGTACACAATATTGTTATACATACCTGAAACTATCTGGCTAACTCCTTCACAACAACAACAAAAAAACTTATTTGTAATATTGGAACATGGTAGTATACTACTCACTTAGTTTTTTGAAATCTCTGTAATAGAGGAACTCTTGGTTACCACTATGACCGGTTTTCTATCCAGCCCAGAAGCATACGCTTTTACATATATGTCTTTTATCTCTGACATTATATAACACTTCACAAATTAGCAATCTTCCCATTCCCAGTGTTGCAAATGTATACTTAATAACATGCATTCTTTTTAAAATGTATTTTATAATTATTACAGAATCACAGAATGGCCGATGTTGGAAGGGACCTCTGAAGATCATCTAGTCCAACCCCCCTGCCAAGCAGGGTCACCTAGAGCACATTGCACAGGGTCACATCTGGACAGGTTTTGAGTGTCTCCAGAGGAGACTGCATGGTCTCTCTGGGCAGCCTGTTCCAGTGCTCTGTCACCCTCACAGTAAAGTAATGTTTTTACACATTCAGATGGTACTTCCTGTGTTTCACTTTGTGCCCATTTGCCTCGTCCTGTCACTGAGCACCACTGAAGAGAGTCTGTCTCCATCCTTTTGGCACCCTCCCTTCAGATATTTATACACGTTGATAAGATCTCCTCTCAGCCTTCTATTCTCCAAGCTAAATAGGCCCAGCTCCCTCAGGCTTTCCTAATAGGAGAGATGCTCCAGTCTCCTCATCATCTTAGTAGCCCTACACTGAACTCACGGCAGTACCTCCATGTCCCTCCTGTAATGGGGAGCCCAGAACTGGACACAGTACTCCAAGTGTGGCCTAACCAAGACTTGAGTAGAGGGGGAGGATCATCTCCCTTGACCTGCTGGCAACACTCTTCCAAGTGCACCCCAGGACACCTACCATTGTCCTTCTTGGCCACAAAGACACATATGGTCAGCAATATTATTAATATTATTACTATTTCTAAATGTAATTCACAGAATCACAGAATCACAGAATCACAGAACTGAAGGGATTGGAAGGGATCTCGAAAGATCATCAGGTCCAGCCCCCCTGCCAAAGCAGGTTTCTTAGAGCTGGCTGCCCAGGTAGGCGTCCAGACAGGCCTTGAATATTTCCAGAGGAGACTCCACAACCTCCCTGGGCAGCCTGTTCCAGTGCTCTGTCACCCTCACCCTGAAGAAGTTCTTTCACATGGTGGTGCAGAACTTCCTGTGCTCTGTCTTGTAACCATTACTCCTTGTCCTGTCCCCGCAAACCACTGAAAAGAGGTTGGCCAAATCCCTCTGTCTCCCACACCTCTGGTATTTATACACACTGATGAGATCCCCTCTCAGTCTGCTTTTCTCCAGGATGAACAGACCCAGATGTCTCAGCCTTTCCTCATAGGAAGATGCTCCAGACCCCGTATCATCTTTGTGGCCCTCCGCTGGACGCTTTCCAGGAGATCCCTGTCTTTTTTGTACCGGGGAGCCCAGAACTGGACAGAGTACTCCAGGTGAGGCCTGACCAGGGCAGAGTAGAGGGGGAGGATCACCTCCCTTGACCTGCTGGCCAAACTCCTTTTAATGCACGGCAGGATCCCATTGGCCTTCTTGGCCATCAGGGCACAGTGCTGGCTCATGGTCAACCTGTCGTCCACCAGCACCCCCAGGTCCTTCTCCTCAGAGCTCCTCTCCAGCAGGTCGTCCTCCAGCCTGTACTGATACATGCGGTTGTTCCTGCCCAGGTGCAGGACTCTACACTTGTTCTTGTTAAACCTCATTTGGTTTAACATTCCTACCCACCTCTCCAGCCTGTCCAAGTCTCACTGAATGGCAGCACAGCCTTCTGGCATGTCAGCCACTCCTCCCAGCTTTGTGTCATCAGCATACTTGCTGAGGGCAGCATGTACTTGTTGATCATCTGCCCTTGATGATTCCCTCATCAAGGTCATCGATGAAGATGTTGAACGAGGCCAGACCTAGCACTGACCCCTGGGAAACACCACTAGTCACAGGTCTCCAGCCGGACTCTGTGCCGCTGATCACCACCCTCTGAGCTTGGCCAGTCAGCCAGTTCTCAACCCACCTTACTGTCCACTCCTCTATCCCATACTTTCTCAGCTTTGCTATCAGGATATCATGGGAGACAGTATCAAAAGCCTTGTTAAAGTCAAGGTAGATGATATTCACTGCTCTCCCCTCATCTACCCAGCTGGTGATGCCATCATAGAAGGCAATGAGGTTGGTCGAGAACGACTTCCCCTTGGTGAATCCATGCTGACTACTCCTCATAACCTTCTTCTCTTCCAATTGCTTGGAGATGGCATCCAGAACAAGCTGTTCCAACACCTTTCCAGGGACAGAGGTGAGACTGACTGTCCTGTAGTTTCCTGGATCCTCCTTGCCCTTCTTGAAGACTGGAGTGACATTGGCTATCCTCCAGTCTTCAGGCACCTCTCCTGTTCTCCAGGACCTTTCAAAGATGATAGAGAGTGGTTCAGCAATCACCTCTGCCAACTCCCTTAGCACACGTGGAAGCACCCCATCAGGACCCATGGATCTGTGTGCGTTGAGCCCTCTCAGATGCTCTTGTCAACAAGGGGGGAGATCTACACTTCCCAGACTCTTTCTCATCCCTCCAGGGTTGAGGAGTCCCGGGGGGGAGTCCTTGAAGCAAAGACTGAAGCAGAGAAAGCATTCAGTATCTCCACCTTCTCAGTGTCTCCTGTTACCAAGACACCCTCCTCATTCAGCAAGGGACCCACATTATCCCTTGTCTTCCTTTTACTGTTTACATACTTAAAAAAAACCCTTCTTATTATCCTTTATCTCTTTTGCAAGCCTCATCTCTAGCTGGGCTTTAGCCTTCCTTGTCACATCCCTGCAGGCCCTGACAACATTTCTACATTTCTATAACACTTATATACTTCTTGTATACTTATACACTTCTTACACTTATATACTTCTAACACTTCTATAATTGATTAAGATTTGTTTTATATAGCACTCAACATTTTGAGTTTTACAAGTACACACCAGCACATCTATGTATATATATGTTACATGTGCAAACATAGAATCTTAGTCATAGAACAGCCCAGGGTGAGAGACCTGGAAAGACCATGATCACTATTATGAATGAGAGGCATGTCTATCTTCACTGAGAAAAATGGGTTTTCTCCTGATTAGAGATGGGAACACCTGTAATTGATTTGTGTTTTTTGTTGTTGTTGTTGTTGTTGTTGTTGTTTTTAACTTCATGGGAATTGATTTAAAACAAAAAGAGTATTATGCCTTTTTCCTTTCATATATACATAAGCAACACCAAAAAGAAAGCAAAACCAGCTAAAACAACTGGCACAATACAACTTTGATTCACATTGATTCACTTTGAATACTGGCAGTACCTTAGCATCAGGGACGTGGACTTTTAGCCTTACACTGCTTTGGGGAAGGATCACTTTCTGGACCAAAATCAGCTTCATCATGACAGGATGTTTGGTAAGAGCCTCACAGGCTTAGAGGCCCTCACCCTTCTCTTTTAAGGGCTTGTATTTTTTCTAGAGTTCACATTTTGTACTTATATTTAGTTTTTCTTTTAATTCCATGATCTTCACTCATAACCAGTCTTTATTCTAAGTTGTTTTTAAGATTCAGCCCTTCTCTAGTTTTACGTTCCGTGTTTTAACTGAACAGGCTCCTAATTCAGATTTTAGTTTCTTGCTTTTGCCTTTAAAGCCTGAATTTCCTGATTTAGCCTATGTGTCACTGACCGCATTGCCTATATGCTGGCTCATGTGATCTCTTTACAGGAAGGTTTGGGTATTAATGCTTTACATTTTGCAAACTCTTTGCCAACATCTGAGGTGGTTTTATAAAAACGGGTTGTGAGAGCTTGAGTAATCCCATTCCCCGGCTCCTACAGTTCTTATAAAATGGGCTGGAGTATAAGCAAGATATTTGCCAGGACCACAGGGTCACGCATTAACTGCATTCATGGTGTTGTGTGATCACTGGAGACTGCCATCTACAGACTGGCTTAACTCCAGTCTGTGAGGTTAATATTGTTACTCAATACCAGTGAAGGTCTTCTACACTAGAACAGGCTCCCTAGGGAATTGGCCATGACATCAAGCCTGGTGGAGTTCAGGAAGCATTTGGACAACATGGTCAAACATATGCTTTGATTTTTGGGTATTCCTGTGTGGAGTTGGGCTCAATCCTTGTGGGACCCTTCCAACTCAGGATAATCTCTGATTCTATATGCGATGTTCACAGAGTTAACTCAAAACAATTAGGCTACTGTTAGGCAATCTGACTGCTAGACAACTGCTGTCACTTCTAAAACAAGCTAAAGTCAGCTCTGGCCAAGGCAAGTACAGACAAATCCTGCGAGATTAGAGAGAAGCCTATCACTTTTTACTAGTAATGGGAAAATCACATTTACTAAGTTATAAGGCTGTCTTATTGTTATTTTCCATGTTATCTCACTGACTTTCTGCAGAACAGTGAACGGTCATTTCCTGTGGATATACTCTGAATATTATGTGGATATCAATCCCAACAACACATAGAGAATTGTATACTGCCATTTATTCACCTGAATGGTTATTTTGCTATTTCTACATTGAGTGCTTTAACCTTTTGAACATCATTCAAGTTTTTCTGTGAAATAGAAATGCATCAGTTTCTGTAAGTTAGATGTCATCCAGCTAGCATACTTGCAAAGTGAAAAATAGTTGTATTTGGATATCCAGCCAAGCCTGGATAGCTTAGTAGGCTACGTGCTTTAACTGCTGTGTAAATTTCTCTGGAATCCAGTAGGCACACAGATGTACAATGAAACATGCTGAATGAGTATGCTGCAACCAGAAGGTAATACTACATTGCTTAATAAAAGAAAATTCAATATAGCCAACCAAGTATTACTATAAAAGATGCAAAATAAGCTAAACAACTGAGAAATGAAAGATTATCCAAGCAGGATCTGTTTTATTCCTATTATAGGCTTTTGATCAAATTACACT